CATAGAATGAGTTTAGAGCTAAACCCTAAAAGGACTAGGTTTGGGTGGTTTGGCCGCCTCAGACGGCGTGGGGCGGGAGAGTAAAAAGGAAGAGCCCTCGATATTCAGGCTCCAACAACAAATCGTTAAATCACGATACACGCGAAAATGCACTATCACTGAATACTTCCGCCTATGCGCCGTTCTACGGCAAACCTAGAGCCCTAAACCCTAGAGCCCTAAACCCTAGAGCCCTAAACGCTAGAGCCCTAAACCCTAGAGCCCTAAACCCTAAAGCCCTAAACCCTAGAGCCCTAAACTTTAGAGCCCTAAACCCTAGAGCCCTAAACCCTAGAGCCCTAAACCCTAGAGCCCTAAACCCTATAGAGCCCTAAACCCTAAAGCCCTAAACCCTAGAGCCCTAAACCGTAGAGCCCTAAACCCTAGAGCTCTAAACCCTAGAGCCCTAAACCCTAGAGCCCTAAACCCGAGAGCCCTAAACCCTAGAGCTCTAAACCCTAAAGCCCTAAACGCTAGAGCCCTAAACCCTAGAGCCCTACACCCTAGAGCCCTAAACCCTAGAGCTCTAAACCCTAGAGCCCTAAACCCTAGAGCCCTAAACCCTAGAGCCCTAAACCCTAGAGCTCTAAACCCTAGAGCCCTAAACGCTAGAGCCCCCAGATATTCGCAAAATGAAGAACACTGGTCCCCCAAGCCCCCGGATGATCGAAAACTGCAATGACCCACCAGGTTGGGGATGTTCGAAATCTGCAATAACATCGGGGCAAAATGTTCGAAAACTGCAATAACATCGGTCCCCCCAGCCCCGGGATGTTCGAAAACTGCAATAACATCGGGGTCCGATGTTCGAAATCTGCAATAACATTGGGGGCAGAATGTTCGAAATCTGCAATAACATTGGTCCTTTTTGTTCGAAACCTGCAATAACATCGGGGTCCGATGTTCGAAATCTGCAATAACATCGGGGGCAAAATGTTCGAAAAGTGCAGCAGGGTTTAAATACTATATGTAGAAAGGGTTTAGGGTTTAGGGATTTAGGGTTTAGGGGTTTAGGGGTTTAGGGTTTGGGGAATAGGGTTTGGGGTTTTAGGGTTTAGGGATTTAGGGTTTAGGGTTTGGAATTTAGGGTTTGGGGGTTTAGGGTTTAGGGGTTTAGGGGTTTATGGATTTAGGGTTTAGGGTTTGGGTTCAGGGGTTCATTTCGGGTTTCGGGTTTAGGGTTTAGGGCCCTTTCGTCCCCAGAGAGCCCAATACGCCTTGATTATGGAATAGAATAGGCCTTAAAGTATAGGCGCCTTAATATGATGATTTAAGGCTTACTCCCTAGTTAAGGGGTATTGGGATCTCTGGGTCTTGGTTATGGCCATTTTAGGGGTTTAGGGGTTTAGGGTTTTAAGTTTAGGGCTGAGGGTAACAGGGTTGGGGGTTTCGGGCTTAGGGTTTCGGGGTTAGGTTTTGAGGGTTGAGTTTGAGGGTTTAGGGTGTAACAGTGTTAGGGCTCGGGTTTGGGCTGCGCAGTTTAGGATTCAGGGTTCAGAGTTCATGGACAGTGAGTTGATTCCGATTCCTTCCCTGCGAGGTGGATGCTGTCACAATCAACAGTGCAGCCTTTGCCTGTGCATTGGCCACACGCTGGGCAAAGGCACTGGCACTTCTGGCTTCCGGATTGGCTTCACCCACAGCCCCTTGTCTTTAGATTCAGGCATCCCACCCCAAGTTTAGGAAATATGTTGTTAAGGCTGCAGGGCTTTCGTTTGGGTTTTTAGGGCTTTCGAGTCTAATGGTTTTCCGGCTCCCCCTTGCGCTGCACAACCGTCGCTTGTGCAGGCCCCGATTGTCGCTAGTAAGTTGAGTGGTCGAAATTAGGGTCCGTTTTGAGGTTCCCACCCTCTTTGGGGCTTAGGGTTGAATTAGGGTCCGCTTGGGGGTTCCTTTTGTAAAGGTGCCGTGCTATCTTGGGGATCCAAATAGGGACCCTAATTGAGAGAACGAAGCAAGTTGAGGTGATCAGCTACAACACCCTGGCATTGGCTTGCAAGGCCTTCGTCGCAGAATTTGCTTGGTAGTGTGCTGGAAGAGCTAGTTGGGCAGCTGAATCGTAAACCCCAGCATGCAGGCAGCCTTTTCTCTCGACGCTAAACCCTAAGCCTTAAACCCTAGACCCTGAACCCTATGTTGTTTTCTGTTGAGCTGCCTGCTAGCTAGGCGGCCACACAGCCTTCAACAACAACAAACTGCTGTGCAGGATACCCTAGGTCCTATGCACTAGACCCTAAGCCCCTAAACCCCTAAACCCCTAAACCCTAAACCCTAAACCCTAGACCCTAAACAGTGCAGGAAGCGGCGGAATGGCAGCGTTGCCTTTCGTTGTACGGCATGCTGGCAGCGGACCGGCTCAGGCCGGATGCCGTAACCGACCCTCGGCAGGCAGAACATGGGAACTCATGCTTTAGGGTTTAGGGGCTTTAGGGTTTAGGGTTTGGGTTTTAGGGTTTAGGGTCTTGATACACACACAGACATAAGTATGCAGAGATAGCATCGTATAACCTAGCAAAGTGGAACAGAATAGTTAGTAGAATAGAATAGACGAGATTAAAAGGCAGTATACCTGAATACCATCAATCGTTGCGCTGATCTGGCATGCCTGTCCATGTATCGGGCCGATTCCTTCCCGCCTCAGGACAGTACCGCTGCCAGTGCCCTTGCCAAAGCTGCCAGGCATGTGTGACAGTACATGGGATGCAGTCTATGTAGGAGCCTTATCGTGTCTTCATAGCGTTTGTTGTAGGTTTTCTATCGGGTTTGGTTTAGGTCATATAGGGTTGGGTCGTTTTATAGGTTTTGTATAGGGTTTGTTTTAGGGTTATAGAGGACCCTTTAGGGGGGGCCCCAAACCCTAAACCCTGAGCCCTATAGACCCACTCCCTAAACCCCCCACGGCCCTAAGCGTGCAGACCTAGACCCCCAACCCTAATATAGAGGCCTTAATTGCCTATGCTATCTTAGGTGTTCCTTATTTTTATCATAATAACATATACTTCAAAGCCCTAGTCTAGTTCTTAAGGCCCCGTTTTTTAAGTCGAAAACCCTAATTTAGCAGGTCTAATTATTAAGGCCCCTTTTTTTAAGTCCGAAGGTGGGAGCAGGCTGTACAGGTGGCTGGGCGCCTGCCTTCCCTTCGACTGGCGCCCTCACCCGTGGTGCACGGAGCAGCGATCGCTGCGTGCGAGAAGGGATGGCAGTGGAGGCACATGGGTAGTTCTCCAAATTAGGGCCCCTTCCCTGCTTGGGTCCCTACGGCATAGAAAGGACCCCAAAAGGGACCCTAATCTAGAGAATGGGTTTGGGGGTTTAGGGGTTTAGGGTTTACTTTTCAGAAGTCAGAAAAGCTCTGTTGCATATTATGGAGCCAGGAGCCTCCCCGGGGGGGGGTGGGTCCGCTAACCCAGAGACTCCAAAATCCCTTAATTAAGGAATATGCCTTAAATTATATAAGGGATCCCTAAGATGGTTTAATTTAAGGTATATTCCTTAGTTAGGGGGTATTGGGGTTTCTGGGAACTGAGGGTTGCTTCTGGGCTTCCCACTCTCTTTTCAGTGAGGACTCTAGCCCCAGTTCAGAGACCTCGCCATGTCTAGGGCCCATAAAGGCACATAAGCAGAGATATCCGATTATATATATGTATGTATGTATGTATGTATGTATGTATGTCCATGTATATATATATATACCCTTGTCATGTTGGGGCCGCTATTACCGCGGCTCTCGGGAAAGCCGTTCGGTTCAGGACGGCTTTGGCCCTTTCTGCAGAGCTCCGTGCAGCCGGAGTCGGCTTCGTTCCGGCGGCACTCGCGGCGCAGAATGGCACGGTCTCTGCGTGTGAGAAGGTGGTCTGAAAAATTAACGGTGTAGGTACAAATAAGTAAATACATGAATAAATAAATAAATAAGTAAATACATGAATGAATGAATAAGTAATCAAATAAATAAATACATAAATAAATAAATAAATATATATATATATATGTGTGTATATATATGTGTATTCATTTTCACACACACACACATACATGTAGGTTCACACACATGAATATGTATATCTACATGTATATAGATATAGATAAAGATGTACATGTCAGTATATATATATATAGGTATTGATATGCAGGTTTAGATATGTAGATGTAGATATGTAGTTGTAGATATAGATATATTGAGACACATATGTATGTGTATATATATATATATATTTATATATATATATATATGTATACAAAGACATACAGATATGCAGATATACAGATATACATATACATACACCTATGCGTGTGTGTATATATATATATACGTAAAATACATATGTATTTATAGGTGTATAGATCTATAGGTATATGGATATATCGATATACATTTATATATAGTATTTAGGATGTAGACTCATGTAGACATAAAGATATACAGATATACAGGTTGAGATATGTAGATATAGTTATGTAGGCAGAGATACGGTGAGATGTGCTCTTTCGGACCCTTAGACCCTGAGCCCTAAGCATCATGGGTAGACTCAAGACAAGATTCTCACGTTGATTTGGGCAGGCGCAGCTGTGGGAGATGGCGCTGGGCTTGTTTGCCGATATGAAACGCGGGAAGCTTCAGCCATCTGCTGTGACCTACAACTCCATACTGAGCGCATGCCACCCGGATGCATTACTGACGTCACGATTGCCAGTCGAAACAGGATCTGAAAGCTGATCGCACAGCATGTGAATGAATGAAGCCCTTGTCACTCAGGTGGGACGAATTCATTGGAGCTCTCCGTGGCTGTTGCAAACGAGATGGAGAAATCACAGATAGTTTTGGATGTTGTCAGCTACACGGCGCTCATAGCAGCCACGGGTCGTTCTGCTGTTCCTTCCGGCATCACGATGGCGCTGGGATTCCTTGAGCAGATGCAGTCAAAGCAGGTGCATCCAGAAACCTTGACATTCAACGCTGCATTGCACGCCTGCCAGTCAGCCTTGCACTGGGCCGCCGCCCTGGAAATCTTCTCCCGGGTTCGAAGAGGCAGAGGACCTGCAAGATTGGATTCAGTGTCCTGCGCCGCACTGTTGGACTCGCTCGCCTGGGCCGGTAGCTTCGGCCGACTTCAGGCGATCCTGCCTGTCGTCCGACGTGAGAACTTGAAATCTGTGATCCTTGAGCCGCAATCAGCCGAACTACAGCTTCTGGCGGGCAGCATGAAGCCTGACTTGCTCGCACTCGCAGCCCGCTCTGCCACTCTTTCTCTCAGCTTCTGGGGCCAAAGCCCAAGCTGGGTCGAGTGGGGTCTGGTCTTGGTGCTCTTGCGCCGCACGGTGCTCGGTGGTGTACCTTCGCGAAAGGCAAAAACTGGGAAGATGAGTCTGCTTCGCCAGCTGGAAGAACCTGGGTTCATGTTCGGGAACTTATTTTTAGGGTTTAGGGTTTAGGGTTTGAAGTTACCATCATAGGGACCTACGTGAAACAGTTGGGTTTCCTTAGTATGGTAACTTAAATGAAGGAACTCATGGCCGAAAGACGGCAGAGCTCCGAAGACCGTCTTTTGGACGCGGCCTTCTCACATCCGTTTGGGCTTGGTCCGATCTTGGCTAACCTGACGCTGGAGGCGGCTTAGGGTTTAGGGTTTCAGGGTTTCAGGGTTTAGTGTTTAGGGTCTTTAGGGCTTTTAGGGTTTTAGGGTTTAGGGTTTTAGTTAGGGTTTAAAGGGTTTAGGGTTTCAAGGTTTTAGGGTTCAGGGTTTAGGGTTTTACGGTTTAGGGCAGATGGGAACGGCCTCCCCTTTCCCTGCACCTGCGAACAAGTTTCCGCACCCATGCCCTAAACTTAGATCAGCGAGACGAGCCCTCGCCACCCCAATATGGAAGCCTGAATAATTACGCATTTTTTTTTTGGGGCGGGGTCCTGATTCTAAATATACTACAATAAAGGAGCTCAAATCCCTCTTCAACCGTTAAAGCCCCTACCCTATGCAAAACAGAAGTTCTCCTCTCGAGCCTCTGAGTTTGCTTGGGCTCTTGGCACGCTTCACGTAGAGGTTAGGATTTAGAGTTTAGGGTTTATTATATTAAGGTTCTGCAAAGGGACCAGGATTTTGACAGTTTCCCAACTATCGGCGGGTGGATTGGGAGTTCGGATTGGGGTTCAGGGGCCAGGGAGTGGCTGGTGCGGGGTGATGCAGTAAGCCCTAAACCCTAAACCCGAAATCCCTAACCCTAAATCCCGAACCTCTAGAACCCTAAACCCTGAACCCCCAAACCCTAAACCCTAAACCCTAAATCCCACACCCCTAAAACCCTAGGCCCTGAGCCCCCAAACCCTAAGCCCCTAAACCCTGCAGTTTGTCGTAATCTCGTTAGACTCCTGATCAGCAAGCAGGGGGCCGACCGACACTGTAAGTAGACTTAAGTAGACCCAAAGGCCGGGTTGAGGGTTTGGGGGTTTAGGGGTTTGGAGTTTTAGGGTTTAGGGTTTAGGTTGGGTTTTAGGATTCAGGGTTTAAGGGTTTAGGGTTTTAGGGTTTAGGGTTTAGGGCTTTTAGGGTTTAGGGTTTAGTATTCCCGAAATATGAGGATTCATGTAAAGAACCCTAATCAAGACCCAAGGTTTCTTAATCGGGTTCCTACATTAAGCCCGAAACGCTTGTGGACCCCGGGGGTAGGGTTTGGGGCTTTGGGTTTCAGGGTTTAGGGCTTAGGGTTTTAGGGTTTAGGGTTTAGGCTTAGGGTATAGTAGCATAGATCCTTGGAGCTGGGTTTAGGATCATACTATGGTAGGATTGTTTCCTAGGCCCCCGTATCCCATAGAGCCTAAAGCGAGGCGCTGGACTTCTCACAGATGTCTCGCGAACCTCGCCGACCTGCGATGCCGTCGACAAGGCCCAAACCCAAAACCCTAAACCCTAAACCCTCTGCAAGGAGTTGTTTCTATAAGAGATCTTTAATAAGGGTTTAAGGGTTTAGCGCGTAGGGTTCAATATAGGGGGTCTCGAAAATTAGCATACTTAGGTTACTTAGAATACGGTTTTGGGGGAGAATGAATGTGCAGGTATAGTTAAGGAGCCCCCTAAACCCTAAACCCTAAACCCCAACAGAATACTGGTGCTATTTATTCGGGCTTGTGGCCCCTAGTTAACCCTTCCCGAAAGCCACAGGCCGTATCCCTTTAGACCCCCGAATCGCTAAAATCCCGAACCCAAAAAACCCCAAACCCTGAACCCTAAACCCTAAAACCCGAAACCCTAAACCCTGCAGCCCGAAGTCTCAAACCCAAAAGCCCAATGGGTAGTGCTCTAAATCAGGGTCCGTTTTTGAGATCGCTAAACTAGTACGGTACCCTCAGAAGACGGACCCTACAAAAACAACCGAATTTCCGAGAACTGCCGAAATCCCCAAACCCTACTACATAAACCCCGAAACCCCAACCCTAAACCTTGTTTTGGCCGCCTTCGGCGCAAAATTTAAGGTACATTCGTTAGTTAAGGGACCCTCGACCCCAAACTCTAAATAAACCTTGAACCCTGAATTCTAACCCAAACCCAGACCCTAAACCCTAAAACCCTTGTGTTGGGCTCTCTGGATCCTTGGATGCCTCTCCTCAACCCTAAATGAACCCTAAACCGCAAATGAATCCCAAACCCCAAATAACGCCTAAACCCGAAACCCTCTCTGAGTCCTTCCTTGTTGGAGGTCTACATGGGACGTAGACAAGCAATTATTGGTACATTAGCCCTAGGTACCCTATGCCCTAAACCCTAAACCTTGGAATACGTCCTATGATCCTTTACAGAGTCCTTAGACACTCACAACCCCTCAAGGGAAACCCTACTGTTGATGATATAAATCCTTCGCATCACCTTGAGGACCCGCAATTATGGGAATGATGGCATATTCTTTTTTTATGGGTAAGGCAGGATTTATATGATCAACCGCATTATAGGAGCCTCTTGGATCTTTATTTGGGTTCCTCATATGACTCCGAAAATTTTGGGGTTGTAAGGCCAGGGTTTCTTAATCAGGTTCCTACATTATAGAAGCCTCTAGTGCCCTGAAAGGGAACCCCTTAAACCCGGATCCTTTACGCAGATCAGAGGTCCCTAAACCACCAAAGCCCCAAACCTCACAGCCTGAGCCCCAAACCTTAGGAGACCCTAGACGCAGAGTACACCCCAAACCCTAAACCTAAACCCGAAACCCAAAACCCCAAACCCAAAACCCACCCAAAACTCTAAACCCGAAACCCTAAACCCCAAACCCTAAACCCTGTCTGAGTGCTCCCTCGGGAGGTCTACGGGGGAGCCTCTGGCTCGCCAGCTTTGGGCAGAAATAGATCTGGCTTTGGATCTCCGGTGCCTTGGCTTCCTCAAGGAGGCATAAAAAAGTTGTTTAGGGTTGAGGGATTTGGGTTTGGGGTGTATTCTTGCGTTTAGGGTTCTGGGTTTAGGGTATGGGTTTTGGGGGTTTAGCAACTGAAATGAAAAAGAACCTATCGAAAATCAAAGAAGGAAGCAGAAATAAAGAGTAGGTAGAGCAGGGATGTGGCATGAAATTTTGGAGTCGGTGGTTGTAGAGCTTAGGGCTAAGGGTTTCTGGCTGTAGGGTGGGGTACTTAGGGTTTATAAGTTTAGGGTTTAGGATTCGATTTGAGCTCAGGGATTCGAATTTTAGATCTTTGAATGAGGGGTTTTCAGTGTGTAGGGTGACTGGGGTATGTATATATATATATATGTAGTTCTCCAAATTAGGGTTCCTTTTAGGTCCCCAAGATAGTACGGCACCTAAAAGGGACCCAAATTTAGAGAACTGCCCATATATATATATGTAGATATGTAGATGTATATATGTCTGTGTATATACATACACACATACCTTTATCAGAAAAGTAGTTGGCGGAGTCAGGGCAATCAGGGCAACCAGGGTAAGTATGGGAATCAGGATGGTTTGGCTTTAGGTCAACTTGGGTCATTAGATTGTAGGGTTCAGGGTTTAGGGTGTAGGGCTTAGGGTGTAGGGTTTAGGGTTTAGGGTGTAGGGCTTTGGGTTTAGGTCTTCTTGTGCCTTGCGATTGCGTTTTTTCTGCCAAGTGAAGCTCCTCGGCCAGAAAAATCCCGTGAAGCCTCCTGACCCCTCGATCTAAAACCCTAAACCCCCTAAACCCCAAACCCCCTTAAACCCTAAACCCTAAACCTTAAACCCTAAACCCTATACCCCCTAAACCCCCCAAACCCCCTAAACCCTCCCAAACACTAAACCCTAAACCGCTAAAGCCTTCCAAAGGCCCGGAGTCCGAAATCCCTGCTACTCCAAAGGCACCAAAGCCCTAAAGGCCTAAAGCTTAGGGTCAAGAGTTTAGGGTTTAGGGCTTAGGGTTTAGGGCTTAGGGTTTTGGGTTTTGGGTCACGGATTTAGGGTTTAGGGTCCCAAGCCCTAAACGGAGTCTGAAGCCACTAAGGTCCACATCCCTGCGCGATAGGCAGCTAGTTGGCTACGGCGGTTCGGCCGTATGCACTGTCAACAGCGACACGAGCAGACGCACGAAAAGAAGCCAGATGTCACGTTTTGGAGTCTTGCGGCAGAAGGTGCACCGAAGCATTTTGCGTCTGCCGGTTTTACCTACATGAATCTTGCACAGGACCGTTGTATCGGTGGCGATGCCTCCGGAAGCAAAGGGCAGGACGGGAGATGAACACAAGAAACGATCTCAGCCTGCTTTGCTTGCCGCTTGTGTGACTGTACGACAATGACAAGGATGGATCAGACGAGTTGAGCGAAGATTTGCTGCCATTCCTTCGTCTCTTGGTGGACGATGCCGCTTGGCAGCACTGTTCATATCGACTTATCCTGCCGATGCTCTACTTTTGAAGGGGCAGTGACGTCAAGGTGCCACAAATGGTGAAGCGCATGACAGAGAACAGCCAGGACAGCTCGGAAACTGGATCAATCGGTCTAGGGTTTTGGGATGTTCAGAAGACCCGTAATGCTAGGATTCTTGTTTTGAGGATCCCAAAGTATGGTACACCTCCACTCCCCCGATTCACAGGAACCCCATATAGATCCCTTCTTCAACCGTGCCAACCCCTCACAAAAAAGAAACTCAACGCTATATCCTGCACTTCTCCAGACTCTGCTTGAGAAGATCAACCTGGAGCGTGCCGAGCGTGTTGCGAGCGAGGCATCGCAGGGCTTTGGAGTTTAGGGGCAGGGCTCTGGAGTAAACGAAGACCCTAAACAAGCCCCTAAACCCTAAACCCCTAAACCCCAAACCCTACAGCCTCAACCCCTAAACCCTAGACTCCAAACCCTGAGCCCTGAACCCAGCACTGACACTTAGCTCGCACAGGCGCAGATCAGCGAAGCGCTGAAGCGATTGGACGAGCGAGTGCCGCGGCAGACTATGTTGGGGTGTATAGGGGGTTAGGGTTTAGGG